GCTCCAGTGCAAAAACATATGATGAATCTGAAGGTGAGAAACCAGATATCCCCCCAGAATCCACCCCCTTCAAATAGTAAGGATCAACCCGAACCCGACGAGAAAACTTTATCCGGCTGATCCTCCCTCGATGCGTCCCTCTGTATATCCCATACATGCATCCGTAGAATGGCTGCCAATAAAAATCGTTGGCTTTTCTACACTATAACCCTCTTCCAACCCCCTCTCTCCACCCTTCCATCGTTTTTCTCATATTCAACGATTCGATATTCAACGACTTGTTCGTTGCGCGCAGTTCAAACGCGAGAGATTCTGTATTCATTGGTCCTTTCCTCCTTTTTTTTTTCTCTCCTCTACCCCATGCACTTGGATTTTATGAGGGGCATCCCCGAGTAGGTAATCCCGCTCCTACGAACAATATTTCGACAGCTTCGTTGGGCAAAAAGTGAGAAGCTACCGGGAAATAGAGTAAGAACTCACGGTATGGAGGAGTGGCGGATGAAAAAGGGATATCCGAGAGATTCTCATGTGATCACATCTGGTGTCTCTATCTCCTCTTTTGATGAACATCAATATTTTAGTTTTTTATTTTTATTCTTTTTGTTGCAGGATGGCGCTTACGTGGGAGGTGGTGACACTGATGGTCTTGGTATCTGTCCTCATGATCCACAGCATAATAGCACTGCTGTTTTTGCTGGTAAGTATTTTTACACTCTCTTTTTTTTTTGAAGGAGAATTGTCGAAGTTTTATGGTAATGATGATGGTTATATCCGTTGAAGTGCCATGTGAATTGGCTCTTTGGACCTTTTCGAGAATGATACTTATATTTCTGGGAAATGAGGTGGAAGACGCTGGTTAATGATGTGAAGTAAGGAGATAAGTTCTTAATCATTTTTTGGCAGGATAGATTGGGAGGTGGATCGCTGGTGGCAGGAAAATTTTCACGGCGAAACGTACCGTGACGAGCTATTTATCCTCGCAACTTTTCGGGGTACTATCGAATTGTGCTCATGGGAAGGAGAAACTTATTGTTGTAGTATCTCTGCGAGCTGGGATAAATGGTTGAGACGGTATGTTCTCAACCGGAAATGTCTCGGTTTCTGCAATGATAAATATTTGTATAACTGTTCCGTTTTCGAGTCTCGAGAATACTCAGTGCATCAGTTCTCCTTCTCGTTTAATTTCGAAAAAAGACAAATTTATATTTAAAATCCCCAAGAAACTCATGCCTCAACAAAAATATTTTCCGTGAGAAATTTCAGAGCAATTTCCACTAGATTTTTTTCATGTTTCCAAAAATATCAATTTTTGTTGAATTTAAATATTTTCAGAGTGAGCGGGCGATTTTCCATGGAAATAAAGTACGAGGGGTGAAATTAATTTGAAATTCCATGTATCCCCCACCCGAAGGGATGAATATTATCCAACGGTATGATATCTCAATCATCCCTGGTGAAATTCAAAGTAGTTTCCTTTTATATGGTTTAAATGTCATGACGTGTAGAGAGTAAAATGGGTCGGGTCAAAATATACTCCTTGGCAAGTGGTATTTATGTAACCACGGGGTGTAATGGTTGGGCTACGAATACGCCTTTGAATAGGGGGGATGAATGTGAGGCATAAGGGGTATTTCAAGGGGGTTGCAAAGAGGGTGAATTGTGGAGAAGAAAAAGTGGCGAGAGGAAGGGTCTGGAAAACTGAGAACACGTTGGCGGCTACAAATCTACCTACACCCTGAAAGCTCAAGAGCTGAATATATGGATCTGTACTTTAGCCCCCTATCCATTTCTATATTTCAGAAAGTTCTTTTTTCATCCAGCGTTCCTTCTCGTGTTTCTTTATACATCCATGTTAATCATTTCATTGGAGTAATGCAGCTGAAGATGGGGAATGAAAAGTGGCTGATGAATTGATGGAATCTCTTGATGAAATGAGCACCAGACATGACTCGTGCATTTTTTCCATTAGTCCACTGAATATTCTCAAGAGTTTCAAGATGGAACGGTAATGCAAATATTTTCACTGCGGAAACAGAGAAATTTACCGTCGACGTCGAATAGATATGACCATTTTTAGTCGGCATTGTTTTTCGTGATCGTTAACATTCAGGGAATCATTTTTGGATAAAAGAAGATGAAAATCGTCAAAACCTGTAATATATGCTTGTATAAATCGAATTCCCCTGATGTTCATTAATTTTTATTGAATAATATTTCCAAAGAATAATTATTATTGCTCAATCGCTGAGTTTCTGTCATCCTGGCCAATTTTTTTATATAAATTCAACTCTGGGAGTTTTGGATAGGAATTCTTAATAGTGTGAACAGATAAAATCGATTTCACGACGTGAAATGGAATTCATTGGAGGCGAGGATTTCCTGATGAAATGTTCTCGATGTCGAACATAATCATGAAGTTAATTGCTGACCTTGATCAGAATAGCGTGATCCGAGTCTTCATACCGATTCAATAGTTTCGGATAGAGAAACTTGATCAGTGACTTCATGGGTTCAATTCCAAAAGGAATGGTTATTTCCTCGAATCCGAGGCAAATTGCCACACTTCATGTCCCAATTGGACATCCAACGTGTCAAGCCTATCTCATTTCAATCACCTTCTTTCTTATTTTCACTGTTCATCACAGTGACTTCATTCAGCTTTTGAATATTTTAAATTTAGTAATTCGATCCCATGAGAACGATAAAAATAAAATCATACATTTCAGTATTCCCTGAATTAAATTCCGGAGAAGTTCGTCATTTTACTTATTCATAATTAACCTTTACTAGAATATCAATCAATCTTCATTATCGAAGTCATAAAGCCAATTTCAGTAATAACGAGCAGTGGATTCTGCACCGAAATAAAATCTGACCCTTCGAACTTTTATTCAATCCCATAATAAATCTGTCTTCCAGCTCTGAATTATTACGTCACAGATTAATAATGTTATTCAACAGAACGAAATTAATAGCATATTCTATTTGTTCTTCTTTAATTTGGATAAATCAATTAATTTTAATGGATGTAACAGTGATTGAGTGTCGAAACCAGTTGCCAGGCAGTACTCCGTAATTTTTCATTAATGTTTAATAAATGATATCCGGTATTATTTAAATTTTAATGATATCATTTTTCTGTCTAATTGCAGGTGGACAATTGTACGCGGCAACAGTTGCTGACTTTTCGGGTGGTGAACCATTAATTCGTCGTGAGAGAATTAGAACCGAACGCTCTGATCTCAATCAATTGAACGGTGAGGCACTCGTTAAATATACCGATTAAATTTCTGTGTGTTTTTGGGTATTGACGGAGGATTTTAACTTGAAAACTTGGTATTACAGGACCGAATTTCGTTAGCTCCTTCGCTTTCGACGATTATGTATTCTTCTTCTATCGAGAAACTGCTGTTGAATATATGAATTGTGGAAAGGTAAGTTTTATGAAAGTTATGTTTATTCAGTACGTTTGGATAACGATCTTATAAATTATTCGTCGGCTTGAAAATTATCTGAATGTGCGATGAGACAAGTTGTTAAGAATATTATTAATAAGTTTTATCGTTTTTTTTTATATAAATAACATGACGTCTCAAATTACAAAGATATTTTAATTATTATAGTGATTAGTTAAAAATTTAAAGTTGTATTCATGCAAACTCAAATTTTCTCGGAATTTCCCGGATTTTTCACTGATTTCCCAGAGTAATTACTTGGAAAATCAAGTGCTCTATTGATCATCAATTAGAATCGGATTGAAATGAGTTTAATTCAAAATTGTAATGAAATCGTGAGTGAATTCAATGGATTTTTAATTTTTTTATGGGACATTCAGAATTTCTAGAGCTCAGATCTGATTTCTGTTAATGAAATTTTGTATTTTCAGGCGGTGTATTCACGAGTTGGGCGAGTATGTCAGCATGACAAAGGTGGACCCCACGCATTTAGCGACAGATGGACGAGTTTCTTGAAAGCGAGGCTCAATTGCTCTGTACCAGGAGAATATCCTTTCTATTTTAACGAAATCCGTGAGTACGAAGAACAATTACATTTTCATTTCACGAGACAATCCCATACCGAGTGAAAAATGTTTGACGAAAGCTATTTTGCAGTTATTTTAGGGAACTTCAATTTAATTACTGAATTGAGGACTTTAGAGTTGTTCGTCAGAAAATAGAATTGTTTCTCCATCCTCTCAATTCTCGATAGCATCATCTCAGTAATTTAACGTTCTGCATTCGATGTTTATTCAATTAACGTGATTTACATCAGTATTTCATCGTTTTGCAATTTTCAAAAATGAATTTATAATTTTAATCCCAAGTGTCACATTCCCTTGAAATTTATTTGACTTCAAATAAAGTTCTGTATTCCATTGACAATAATTGAATTGAAATTTCGACTTTCCACGAGAAAGAACATAAAAAATTCAATCGAATCATCACCAATTAAAAGTCTCAAGATTTATTTCGAATTTCGAATTTCCACGGAGGGAAATTTCCTCCCGAGCTGTACGATCCCCTGAAATCGGTAATTTTTTAATCACCAATCAGAGGCCAATGCTCTGATCCCGATTTACCAAAAATTCTATGGTCCACACTTATAAATTCCAACAACGTGTCAATCTATCGCCATTGAAATTCCCACACAATTACCCCGAGGCTGTCAAACGAATTATCGCACTTGGCACAGAACATGCCAATAAGTCCAGAGGAAAAAAAAAATGTAGAGCGAGTAGACGAAAAAGTCTGGCCTGACCGAAAAAATCCCAGATACTGAACCGAAGGAAGGGCCAACATTTCGATGGATTGCCCTCCGATACGACTGAGTAGCTGGCACTGAAATCAACCAAAAAGAATCAGATAAAATGAGATGAAAAAGGGAAAGGGGAGAGCGGAAAAATAGTAAAAATAGGAAGTTTTAAAGAAGACATGGGTGGATCGGAAGTGCACGTTGAATGGAAAATCCAAGGTATCTGGAGCTGGACTGGACCTGGCCACCAGCCAGATGTACGTCTTGAATTCTGGCTAGACGCTTGTGCTCCTCTCGAGTGCACAACCGTGTGTTCACGTTCACAATATACAAGGACCATAGCTTTCCTCGGGGGTTGAAGGGGTTGAAATAGAAAGCCTTAAGGGCTTTTTCTACCCGATGCACTGTAAATTTGAAACAATGGCTATTTTCCCTGGCGCCTTTCCTCTCTCTCTCTCTCTCTCCGTTTCCTCCAACTCACTGTAATCTCCTCAAGGTATTTTACCTTGCCCCTTGCTTTATTGTTATTTAGTGGGTTTTTGTCTTGGAATATATATTTCACGGCTGAAATTATGAGGCTATTATACCCACGCTAATTTCACGCGTTATAAGTGAAAGTTATGGGAACAATTTTTTATCCGGTCATTTTAGAATTTTTGACAGATCATTTTTTGGATTTTATCTGTTTTTTTTTATATTGATTGTTAGTGTTATTATTGTTACAATATATTTCGTTGTTTTGGGATTTTTTTACTTGAAGGATTATAAAAATTATTAAAAAATGAAAGACACTTCTACGATTTATCGAAATTTTCATTAATTTTTCAGTGACAATTGAATTAAAATTAAAAATTCTCTGGATTCTGAAATTGAAGATTTAAAAAATATTTTTCAGTGGTGAATTTCTGAAAATTGTCAGTACTTGAATTATTTTTAATTACATTTTCAATAGACTGTCGAATCCGTGCAATATGAGAATATTTTCATTGCTTCAAGGAGTCAGAACAACACATGTGATGGAAATTGAGAATTGAGGAAGTGAGAAATTAGGAATTAGTAGTGAAGTGATAAAACGGTTTACGTCAGACGTAGGATGATTGTTAATTATGCGATGATGAGCCGTTTGTGAATTAAATATCATACCAGCTTCTGGAGCTGACCCAGTTCACCGAACACATGTCTGCTTTACTGAAGAGATTATTTAATAATTTCCAAAATGTACAGTCTCCGCAGATTTACACTTTTCTACTGAATTATTTTCATCAATTTTTCTTTGTCACAGAAAACTTTTCGTAATCTCCAAAAAGTCTCTATAAAACTTCTCCAGAAAAAAATTCTTCAATCCCAACCCTCACTCCCAATTATATTTGTCAATTAAAATAAATTAAATTACGGGACAGATAAATATTTTTTTTTACATTTGGAAGAGTCCATAAAATTTCCTGATTTTCCAAGTGAAAAAAATTGAGATAAATTTGGTGTTTATTTAGAGTTGTAATTAATTTCACTGAATGTTTTTTCCTTTTTTAAATTATTAAGGAAATAGGTAAATGAAATTCGCAAGGGAAAAAAATGATCTCAGACGGCTAAACGACATCGAAATCTCCAGCACAGGGTGGCATTACCTCGAATAAATTCCAACTTCACCGCGAAACCCACAAAATGAATTATGAAAATCCTCCCCAAGTGCTAATTCCCCACCTCCAGAGAAGCCCCCAAAAAACAAAACTCAGAGAAGTCGTTGAAAAAAAATTCCCAACGGCTGTTCGCCCTTAATTACCAGCCCCACCCCAGCGATTGCGAAAGCCATCCCTCATAACGTCAAAAAAAAAAAATTAAAAATTCTCCCCCAATTTAAGCAAACTTCCCCCCATAATTAACCGAATACGGAGAAACAGCGATAAATCTAGGATTTAAAACGACGACACGAATTTCCTATCTAATCTAACCGGGCGATTTGATTCAAAGCGCAAAAGTTGTTGAACAAAAAGACTCAATATCCAACGAGAAACTTTTTGACTCGTAAGCATCAGAGTGTCAACTTTAGCTTTTGCTGGAGATACGCCCGAGTTGGAATACCAAATCCGATTGGAGGAACTTCCGAGCGTCTAGAGCACATCCTCACGATTTTTTTTTTACACCATTATTTTTTTTGCTCACATTTTTCTCCATTTTTATTTTTCATTTTCCTCTACTGTTTCCTCCACTTCGTACAGTTGACGTTCAGATCGCTGCACCACATACGAGCGTGGGAATATTGGAAATTGTCGAAAAGTTTTTCACCAGGGGGTTTTGGGGAGGCAAAGAGGGGACAGGGCCTTGAAAAATATCTTGGGTATACCAACGGCATTGTGAAATGTAGCATGAGAGTTAAATTTTTCTTCAAACTTCGAACGTAGAGAAAACGTATCGATCAATTTCCTCGGATTGAAAAGAATATGGGGACGTGGGCGATAGTTCATATTCTGAACTTTGAGAGAAATTCTTCGTTCATTTCGATATTAAAACGTAATGTATTGAACCTGGGGAAATGGAAGGGAAGAGAAATGATGGGAGTTTCTAGATTTCTGGTGGGAGTGAATCCTGCTGGATGGATTGAAGTGATGAATTCTTTTTGGAAGAACCAACCAATTGCATTGAGACGAATGAAACCTAGAAAATTATTTTTCCACTGTCAGAAAGAAATTGATAAATTGATACTTCGTAAACAAACGACAATTCAGTTTCATTAAACAATGCTTGATTATAAACAAATACAATTTTCAACTTTCAATCTGATTATTTATCCTTGAATCCAATTATTTATCCGTAAGTAAATAAATTCCGGGAAGGGTAAACGCTTTTCCCTTGTCACGATAACTAATATATTTCCTCCAAATTCATCAGTGAAACCAAAAAAATGAATGACAAACCTGAGGCTTGGGTTTACCACCGAATTAAATACGGGAGTATTCGATGGAGACTTGAGCTCGCCACCTAAAAATCCAATTCTCGAGAAATCCCACGACTCATAAAATAAAAATCGAAAGAATTGGAATGTATCGAAACAAAGAGAGAAAGCACTGGATATCCCTGGAAAATAAATTCCTCCAGCCCAGTGATACTGGATTCTTTCCACTCGAGTATCATTCAATCATCTTATGCTAATCCATTTCATTCCAGAATCGACGAGCGACGTGACAGAGGGTTTCTACGCTGGACGTCACGATCAATTGATATACGGTATTTTCACAACCCCAGTGAATTCAATTGGTGGATCAGCAGTTTGTGCATTCTCCATGAGCAGTGTCCTAGAGGTCTTCCAGGGTGCATTCAAGGAGCAAGAGACGATAAATAGTAATTGGCTCAGAGTACTGGCGGAGAAAGTACCAGAGCCACGTCCAGGTGCATGTGTCAATGACTCCAGAACACTTCCAGATGGAACCGTGAATTTTGTTAAGAAACATCCGTTGATGGATGATGCTGTACAATCATTCTTTTCACTGCCTGTTCTCACTCAAGTCAGTTTCAACTATAGGTTTACTAGAGTCGCTGTTGATCCGCAAGTTAAAGCGCTAGACGGCAGAACTTACGATATTTTGTACATTGGCACTGGTAAGCTTTTTCAAATATTTATAAACATTTCACTGAAAAAAACCCTGCGCAAGTCCATTTTCCCATTTTTGTCCAGTTAATTAAATTAATGGGACAAACTAATTTTATTGAAATCGTAAAGTAATATGAACCATATGAATTCATTTTAGTAAAAGTAAAATTAAAATCAGATAATGCAACATAAACCAAATAATTTAATTTACTTGATATGTTTAAATAATTTTCACGAATGAGTGGAAAATCTTCTGATTTAAAAAATGTGTCTCTCTTTTGTGTCTTCCATTTTGTAAGAGAATTTATGAGAATAAGAATCAATGGAATGCCTTGAGATGTAATCAAAGTAATGAGAAGTATTTTGAGTTAAAACGCGCAATTACTCAGCACTTCGCAGTAGTTCCTGAAAAAAAAAAAGTGAAGAATCAAAGTGATTTCCTTACAATTGAGAAATGGCAACCATTCGGTATAACACCACAATGAGCTTAAATTTCACGTGATATCTTGGAAGCAATTTTTAAAACCATTATGTTGCCTCTTTCAGACGATGGCAGAGTTATAAAGGCACTGAACACAAAAGCACCCGATTCACTGACCGAAGTCGGTCAGGTCATTGTGAGCGACGTTCAAGTGCTTCGATACGGTGAGTTTTCTCATTCTTTTTTCCATCTTAATTTTAGATCCCTTTAAATTTAATTGGATCCCCAACGAATGATCAATCGAAGGAGAGAATAGCTTCAAGGGGCGATCGGATAATTATTGAAATTTTCTCGAGGGGAAAACAGCGTCTCACGCTGTTTGCAATTACGGATTTATAGCTCTAGTTTCGTGCTAAATTGAAAATTCAGTGATCATTAATTTTTTTTTTTTTTCACTTACTAAAGATTTATCGGCCATTCGGCTTTTAATCGAAATGCAATTACAATTCATTGATGAGGACGAAGGCGAGGTATAATTTATGGGTCTCGTTTGGCAACTTCTCTAGAAAGTGAAATAAAATATCTCGAGCAGCCCTTTATTACGTGCATTGAATACATATTTCCAAGAGCTTTCAATTGAATTTATTGAAAAATAATTCACTCAACCCCAGATGCTAGTGGTATAAAAAAAAATTCACTGCATATCTCTTGGGTTTAACTTTCATCCAGTGAATCGTTAAAACGCGATCATCATCACTGTAACGATTATTCTTCTCATCTGCAGGTACAGCAATAAAAGATCTCCAAGTTGTTCATCTAGCTGGTGAAGCAAGTAAGCTAGTAGTTATAGCTGATTCTGAGATAAGAGCAGTGCCCTTGCACCACTGCGACAGTCAAGCAGCAAATACTTGCGTTGGATGTGTTGCACTTCAGGATCCGCATTGCGCTTGGGACGATGTGACACATACATGCGTCGCTGTGCCAACAAAGTTGCACGATAATGATGCCAGCAAAACACTATTCCAAGATATTATTAATGGAAAACACAAGGGATGTGGTTATCAGCAGGGTAAGACATATTTTATCATTTGATCCCCCACGTGAAGTTTATCTTTCCGCAAATCGCCAGCCTCCCAGCACCATCTCACAACTATTACTACTCCTTTAGCAATCGTTTCAACTTCATTTTCTTCAGTGGTCTGTCGGCTAATACTTTCATTCACTCGCAATTGTCCTACTACAATTCTCCCCTAAATACTTCAATACTTCTTGTCCTTTGTTTTTATTGTTTGTCTTTTTTAATTAAGGAGATGGCTTCCAGTTCTTCACCGAGTTCATGTCAGAGTTCGATTAGTCTTCTATCGAGTCACTTTCAGTCTAAATTACCGCTTTCTGAGAGATTAATTAACACACGAAGGGGTAAATCCAGAGTAATGAGAAAGGAAAGAGGCAATGGCTTTAACTATTGGCAAAATAATTAAAATTACCGCTTTCCACTGATTTGTCATCTCGTTTGTCACTTTATTTAATCGTGGATAAATGTTAATTGTTGGTGGGTAATTGACACATTGAGATATCATTTTTCGATCAACGGATTTAGTAATTGGGGGAATCCATCTCCTTGGTTGAATAGTCTTTAAACAAATCATTTTTCACGTTCGTGTCTTCTATGTATTATCATCTTGTCCTCTTCGACCAGTGAATATTGTCTCGGAGATGGCGAAACCAGTGTTACCAGTGGTACCACCTAGAGTAGGACATGGTGAGCAGCTCGACGAAAGGGACAATGAGATCGTCATCGAGTTGGACCGTGAAAATCAGTACAGTCGCACACAGCCAAGAGCTAACGAGCCTCAAGGTAATGCCCATCCCCCAAGTTACAACAATTGCTAACACAAACTCAACAGCAACAACTTTTTATTTGACCCATATCCCCCTATTCCTTCAAAAATTGTCAAACTAACTTTGTGATTAAGATATGACATTCACTATGAAACAAGTCTTTCGCCTGTATTCGATGTTTGTGATTCATCTTTATCGTTTTCACTCGCAATTTTGAATTAACATGCGAAGGGTAGTTATTTTTGTTATTTCTCATTGGTCGATTTTTCATACTAACACTCGAACAGAAACATACAGTTAATAATATCACTGAATATTCTGGGGTGCTGTCGATTTAACGGAATGACGAATTCTTGATTCAAGATTATTCGTGATGAAGAAATCTAACGTGATTTTTATTGGTGTAATTGTTTTCTTTCAAAGCACGTTTTTTTGCATTCTCAAAATTCCCTCGTCTTCTCTCTCTCTTTGTTTGATGCTAGATGCGTGCGCAATCTGCGCAGTGAGCTGCGTAGAAGCGTCGGAAGTAAATCGACGCGATTGTGGTGTCACAGATCTAGAAGTAAATATTGATAATACATAATACATATATTGGCTTCGATAAATAAATGTTTGTTTATTAAAAGTTGTAATAAAATAATTGAAAAATTCCGGAAATTCGCTTATCTGTGATTACATTGTCTGTAAACTTTTTCGCAAAACACGAATGCATTTCAGAAGGCAAAGGTTGAAAGAAAAAATCCGTTACTGCTAATTTAACGTAAAAAAATGTTCTCGATCCAAGAATTCGTCAGTCCGTGCAAACGCACTCTAACCACTTCTAACCAACGGATATTTTTCAGGCGTAATAGTAACCCCAGTGGTGTACTCCGCGCAAACCCTAACAGGCGCCCTGATAGGCACCTGCTTCTTCTCGCTGATAGCAGGTTTTGCATCAGGTTTCTGGTTTTCCCAGCGACTCCGGGGAACCCCCTACCCAGACCCACCTGAACAGCGGCAACAATTGAATCGACTAACCGAGTCATCAGAGTCCCCAGCGGGTTTCAACAACAAATCGATAAATCTCGTTTTAAACGTACCACCGAAAAATCCAAACGGCAAAAATGCAAATTCCTCAGCGGAGAACAAACCAATGCAAAAAGTCAAGAAAACGTACATATGATACAGAAGACGTCGAGCCGTGTGAGGCTGGGCAGATCGTGACGATGATACCCAGATATCAACGGGCTCATCGTCCGATGCTACCGAATCCGAGAATTCCTACAACAACGAAAACATCTATGAGAAAGCAAGCTCAAAAAAAACATCACTACCCGCATCAACAGTCTCGTGCAGCTCTTCCGAGATCGATCTTCGACACATGAACGAATCATTCGATCCACCAGGTTACGATATTGTCGTCAATCCCGAATTTCTAGTACCTCAGAAAGACCAACTCACTCACCATCGCGCAAGACTGACTTACCAAGATCCCAGCGACGATCCACCAAATCCACCAAAAACATCTAGATCACGGGCTAGGTATCAGGATTACCAGAGTGTTGATACATCTCACGAGCACTACATGATACCCACGACAAATCCAAAAGACAAGCGTACATTGTCACTGTTCATTCCCGAATTTCTACCCAATTTCAATGACATGATGATGTACGTATCACAACCAAATGAGGGTTTATCCAGTGTCTCACTACCCTGGAATCGTACAGACGTTAATTACCACAATGCTTCCACAATTAGACACTCACTAGACAATGATCCCACTGTTAATGAGCATTTTTTCTTGAAAAGTTCAACACCAGTCAGGGATACAAGTTACGATAGTTTACAGCATGAGCGGTACAATAATGAAATTATTGCTAACGAAAATTTGTACGCTTCCATTGTTAGGCAGGATAATGAATGCAAATCGAGCAATATTGAGTACAATTGCTGAGTTTAGGGGGAATTATTCAATGGGGGAGGTTCATTTAGCTTTATTCATTTGTATTTTTCGTCTCCCGGATTGAGTGTCACCAGGTTATTGGGATATGAGCCACTGATGATGGTTATTACGTATACGGTGAGAACGTACTTGTGATAAAGACTGGTGGTACTGTGTTCTTAGTAGTGGCCTGTTAGGTGTTTAGAGGAAAAAATTTTAAAATGGAAAAAAAAATGATTACGGTATCGTTGCGTATACATAAGCGTACTCAGCAGACGAAGCGTGCCTTCCATGTATTTTTGTTGGCAATTTGGTAGAGGATGTTAGTCGAGGGGAGAGTTGATGCTTTAAGAGGGATGATGTTTTTTTTTTATACTGGGAAATAATTGGGGAAGAGTGAGGGAAACGAGAGGCAACACTTCAGTGAACTCAAGCAGATGCATTTTTTAGATAACGTTTTTCGCTTGTATCGCGGAATTCGTGGGAGATAGCGATATTTTTTATTGAATATTTTTTGTGGACAAATGCGAAAGCTACAGAAATGGTTCTTATCAAAATGTCGCTGTGTCTTTTCAAATCCGAGATTTTTGGGAAAAACTGGACTGGAAAAATGGGTTCTAGTTTAATACTTGACAACAGAATTAAAATTATTTATCTCGTTTTATCACTTGGCCATTGAAGTAAAAACAGGAATGTAATGAAAAATAGAGGATATCGAAAGTAATGATGAGGATAACGATGTTTTCTGGGGAGGGTTCAAATGTGTGGCAAATATTCAAAGGCAAAAACTGCCAATAACCGAAGGTAAATGACTTCAAAAAAAAAATGTGTAAATAAATATTAATTTTTAATTAATCTTGTCTTCGACTCGATGGGACTTTTGATTATGGATATTTAAGAGAATTTCAAATGTATATATTTATCCCGTCGAGATATAAAGGGGAAAAATGTGGATGAACTGTGCAAGGTGTGGAAAATCGATAGAGAGGATTAAATAGCATTAGGTAAGAAACATTTTGTACAATCGCTTCGTAATATCGTGTTTCCTCGTCACTCGAGATTATATTGTATGTATGGAACAAAAAAATAAAATATATATATCATAGTATTTACATGAGAAATAAAGAATGCAGATATGGCAGCTATTTTACATTTCTATCGATTTATGGAAAAAAAAAGGAAACAAATATTTGCAATATATTTGCCATGCTCCATGTACCTAAAACAAATATGGGAATTATTGTTATGGCACTCTTTAGGGGTGACATATTCATTCCAAGTAATCTTGCCCATTTTATTTTAGGTATTGTTTTTTTTTCATTCTTCGTTATATTTTTATTTCTACAGAATATTCTAATTGACGACTAAAATTGGAGAATTAATTAGCTGAAAATTGAGGGAAATAATCGCAAATTATATTGTATCTATCAAAGGATGAATATATATGAGGAACATGAACTGTATATGTATAAAGAAGCATTTTATTAGATCAATTTTTGAATATGACGATAAAAAAATGTGTATATAATAATTCGATTGCGCATTGATTGTTGAAACAATGGATTGAAAATTTTCTGTGGTGAGTGACGATGACGCAAAATTGTCAAGGTATTTTGTTAATTTTTCAAGTTTATCGTTGGTAATAATGCATTATGAAAAATTGTGAGTTCAAAATTTAGGGAAATTGTGGGAAGATATTCTTTCCTAGGGAGATGAATCAGATCGGAATTAACAGTATCTGCCGACTGTATTGTTTATTGAAAGATAATTATTGTGAGGGTGTGAGGATAATTGCTACATTCCATTTGAAAGCCAGGACTGCCAAATTGGTCGGTCTTACGACAGCTTGTGCTGCGATTACGATCTCGTGGGTAGATACTTGAGAGTTTATTCTGGAATTCCGAGAGAAAATGAGAATTTTTTTTGTAGAAGTACAAAGAGGTGTAGAGGGAGCATTTTCTTTTGCATATTTTCTCGTTCCATTCTGTCACACCTGGAATTGGAACTAGAATATCTCAAGTCGGAATGGTGAAACGATTAAGTTGGATGTAAAATTGATAATTTGCTGGACAAGCTGGCGTACCGGCGATCAAATAAACAATTATGTAAAAATTCGATAAAAGAATATTTTAGTGGCCTTTTCGTAGACGAATTCGTCTCTGCTTTGTTAAAGAAACACTATTAGAAGAAAAACACGAACAATTTGTATAAGTTATACATTATGTAATTGTAATACTCATTAGGGATATTGGAATAGCTTGAGGAAATTTCAAATCGCCACGTCTTTCAAATCTCATTCATCCGTAAGTACATTATTTGTCAGTCGTAATCCCTTCCTCTTTATCAATAGCTTTTGTTTTGTTCGAGAAATCTTGATCAATAACGGTAAATAATGACATATTCAGTGTAATGGCTACGTGAATAATAATAAGGAGAGAATCAAAAGAGAATGGCAGTCCAGGCACACGATGTATGCTGTGCCAATACAATATTTTTTTTTGTATATAAGGGCGATACGAAAAATTTCGAATTTTGGTAGATCAACGAAATCATGAGACAAAATTTTGAGGGAAGGGGCAGGGAATCGATGATCGAGAGTGTGCGGGAGGTTCGATGTATTCAATTATAGAATCGAAATAAAAAAAAAATAATAACGAAGAAGAATTTTAAAACATTTTCTGTCTACTCGAGTGATAATTTCTCTGTTTTCGTAGTGAAGTCTGAAAAAATGCTGGATGAGGTATTTTCTCAAGCTTCTGAATGTTCTTTTTTATCCTGAAATAATGATTTTGATCATACTATCTCTCCCATACACTTTCGAATGAGCAGATGAATTTTTGTAGATACTTCAAACCTACAAGCACCTATCCAAAGCGTCATGTGCACCTAATTTTCTCCATAAAATGAAGAAGACATACGAGACATTAAAAAATTGAGTCGTTGACCCATAACAATTAAGTATAATTTTTTTATGTCGAGCGATCATGACAAACTTGTGTGCTATACGTGCGTTTTATATTAATTTTTATGACTTAAAGTTAACGATCATGTGGACGCAAGTGCTGTACATAATCACGTGAAAATTGTACTGGTGCATGATGAATTTTTTTAATGAAAAAATAATAATGAGAAAGAGAAACAATTGGAAGTGATCCACTCTATGCCTAAACTTAAAGTTGACGCAGATCCAAGCAAACAAAATGAAAAATTATATGATGAAACTGTAATTGCGTTTTAGATAGTTAGGAACATATGAAGATTACTCCTCTATGATATTTCATTTTTTAATGTAACGAATAGTTTATTATATATTTTTTAAAGACTTTTACGCGCTTTGATAAGGGAATCATTTTTTTTAATTAGCCTCGTTAATTAATAATCATTGTTTGTCCCCCTGCATTATAAATAAAATCATAATCGCAATGTAATTTATAAGAAACGAAGAAATGAAATAAATGAAAATATAGAAATAAATCAAGTGTGTAGTCCATCAATTCTGAAACCTTTTTATAAATAATCAATAAATAATAATGGATTAAAAAACGACACAGTAATCATTTAATTCTCATTTTGTGTTTATTGTACCAAAAAATTCAATTTTTTTTAATCACCGTCCACTCAATATAATATAATTTTATTTTTCATCCTTTGTTATATCTTATTGGCTTATAAATATTTATAATAGGTTAATGTATTCGTTATTGTTGTAACTATTTCTTTTTCGTTATTACGATAATTCGAAATCAATGAGTTGACACTAATTTTTCAATTTTGTTTAATTCAATCTAAACAACAACCTTCCGAAACATTATCATTCCTCTGAATCATCATCATTGAACAATAGTACACGATGTGCATTTGAGAATAGAGGTACGAAAAAATTTACCACGCAACCCCCTGGATACATTTTGTTATTCAACAAACCGATTTTTGCATCTCCTATGGCACACATTTCCCCTATTGTTTATCCCTCGCGAAAATCATTACTCAATGCTTTTGAAATCCCAGTTTGAATATATCATCGAAAATTCTTGTCAATTATCCGAGAGTACTCCGAATTTAAAAACATACGAATGCAAAGAAAAATATTGCTGAGATATCCAAGGCAGTCACGTCCATTTACCAACGCAATTTTAAAAAATCATTCTCCTAGTATTGCATCATAACTTTACTGATAACAATATCGTTAATCCCAAACGTAATTTTGTCTTCATCATTCTGCTCAGTTAATTATTATTCTTGCTAGGCATACGAGTACAAACATTTTCTGCAATAACAATCACTACATCATAGAGATTTATGTAATTCATTAAAATATCGTTAATAGGTGAGATCTTCGAGTATGAAACCATCATCCCGATTTATAGTGATTTTTTAAAATTACAATTTGGATTTCTTTCATTGAGAAATGCACGCGAGTTTGTGTTGCCGAATAGTCAGGCTCAGCCACTGAGTTCTTCATTTACAATTGATCGATTGATGAAATTCACTAAACAAATAGATATCGATCAGAAGAAAAAAAGGAGACGGTTGAGCCTTTTTTCAAATATCCAATTATCATATAATGCATTGAGACAGGTAAAAAAATAGATGAGGAGCCAACTTCAATTTATACAATCCCCCTTGCATTATAATTTTTTTCCAACAATTGTTCGCCATGTAATTTTCATAGACATGTCCCAGGACAAATGACGTATCTCCAACAAATATTTATTAAATACGTATTTCAGAATTTCAATACAAATCACGCCGTCAACACTGGAAATATTCAACTGATATTCTTCTAAATATAAAATATAACTGGATGAAATTATAGGCATCAAAGAAGATGCTTGATCCCTTGAAGATATATCCCTTATCCTGCTAATTCTCTTGAATTATTGTTGTCATAATTGCTGTTATTACTAAGATAAATCGTATCATTTCCGCAATATCTCCAAAGCAAGGAATTTTTGTAATAACCTTTTTGCAGCTCTCGATCAACTCTGCAAAAAAACGTTTAACGAATATTTCATTATTTACCTTCGTTTCAGAGATATTGTCTCCTTGGTTTGAACAGAATATTCTCGTACGATTGTTTAAATTGAAATTCTGAGACATGACTTATCGATATTTTCTCGAGTTACGTATTGCACTGGAAAAATAATGAGCACACCATTGGTCCGTGCCATGCCCATCACAACATCGTGCGTTTTCTCAAAGGAATTTTAATGATTAAAGAGAGAATAATTCGGTATTGACAAGGTCAACAGTTGCGTAGCCATCACGATTCTCTCAATCATTCACCAGAGAGATGAGAAATCATTATTATTACAATTATTATTTATTTGTTAATTTTTTTTTTTCGATTGTTTTTGCGTAGAATTTTTGTAAAAAAATAATAAGGTCGAGATGCCTACGCTTGTCCCTAATCAAGGATTACTATCTTTAATATAATTTATTACCTAAAAATAGACTATTGCATGAACTTAATCTAGAGAACCTCCGTAGTTTGAAATCAACAATAATTTTTTTTTCATTTTTCAACTCGTATTTCCGCTGTGAAATTCTCTCTTCTCGTACAACCGATACAGCAAATGCGAATTCCATCGAACGATTTTGAAAAAATGAATTTATTATTTCAAGTGAAAAATCAATTGTGCTGCTATTGAATGTTCGTTTATCAGCACAAACCGAGGATTTTTCATCTCAATTATTTGCTTCTCTTTTTGCTCAAGCGTTGATTGAGTTAACAGAAGAAATTCATGTGTTGATGTTGTGAAGAATTTCAAAATATTTGGTTACAACTCCATGTCTTGTGCCTCATCCTCGCTGAAATCACTCATGGAGGATTCACTATCTGAAGACATGCCATTCCCATTGCCCCCGTTCTCCTGGTCCCTCAGTGCTTCCTCTGTCGCGTATTTCCTTACGTAATCTGCAGGTAAATCAAAAGAATTGTTAACTAATCGAAAATATTTATAAAAAAGCTCTGGTTTTTTAGCTGGAAGTCGAAGTTATTCGATTTGAATTGATAACAATTTTAATCCACCAATTCACAACGTTCGTTGATTATTGCCAAATTGAGTACTGGTAATTTTGTCAGAATAGTTTTGCACATGATCTTCTATTATCATTTTAATTGATTGAATTTTTTCAGTGAATTATCGATTTGGATGAAAAACCCAGATCAAAATCAAGTGAAAACCGTTGTAATTATCTGATTGATTGATTGATTGGTAAAACTAATGTCTCACCTGCGACTTTTTTCTTGTACTCTTCCGGTTTATGAAGGTACATCGCAGCGGCATCACCGTTAAGAGGATCGATTGGATTGGGATATGTTAACAATTGAGGCAGGAAAGACTCAAAAATATTCGACAAATCTGTAACAGAACAAAAACCAGTGAACAATTGTACATTTTTTACTCAACCATCGGTTGATTCTAAATTTATTCAGCTCGCAGATAATTCAAACTTATCTCAAAATATCCAACAAAAAAATGTCTAACGAGATTTTGAATCCACAGATAATATTTGAAGGGAAATCAAAATTTTAAAAAATGAAAAACCGAACAGCTGAGTCAAATCTCATTGAACACAGCCATTGAACCGTGAAAAATCAATGAAAATTCACCGTAAAGAGCCGTCCACGCTTGGTTGATGACATCAAGACAAACTGTACCGGAGACTTCATCGATATTTGGGTGATAAACCTTATTGATGAACCCAATCGATGGCGATTTAAAAGGATAGTGTTCAGGCAGGTGAACCCTCACCTTCCAAATTCCACCCTCATAGGGAGCTGAAATAAATAAAAATAAATATGAGAAAAGCACAATTACTTCTTCATTTCTTCATTTCGATTTTGAATTGAATTTTGATTTGAATGATTATCAAAAATCATTATATATAATTACCCCAGACTAAATTGAAACTTCCTTTTTATAAAATGGATTGAGAGAGTGACAATTTATTCTCCTTTCCTTCAACGTTTGCGTACATATTCCGATAATCATGGATTTGAATTTCGCATAACATAGAAAGGGTTGCGCATTGGATGCAGCGAGTGGCACATCGACGCGGTTCGATGCTAGCGAATGGAACAACAGTATATAAGTGAGGATGACCCACTGACCTAGTTTTCAAATGGTACATATCCCAGGGAAAGGTCCTCTTCCCATTGGACTGAACCACCTCCAAATGGATCATCTTCGCCAAACGCATACTCATAGAAGAATTCAGTGAAATGGACGAACTATTTGTCTATGTGTAAATAATCCATTGATACGGATTATATCGTTATTTCCAAGGAATTCAATGATTAAATTGCATCCTTGAAATATTTTCAAATATATTTTTCTCGCGGTGTAAAAAAGGAGTCATGACAAAATAAAATCAATAGAACAATTACACGGAAATTCTTTGCGGCACCCAAAGTGCTTTGACCCGTGAAGGTGGCACAATAGAACTAACAATTCTCTCGGAAGTAATTTTTTTAAATATTAGAAATGGGGAATTAGAATAATTAAATACGAGGAATGACTGAAAATTCGATTTTTCTCTTTTCATTTGATAATTGAGGACAATTTTGGGCTCAACTTTCACACGACATTTTCATTTTTACTCAGATTTTCTTGGAAAAATGTTTAAACTCCCCTTTTCGCAATTTAATTTGCAGTTAATCCAGATATTTCAACAATTGTTGCTGAAAAATTATGCAATGCGACCTTTGCAAAGAAAAAGCGAGGGCAATAGATATATCACGGCTCAATGAAGACATTGATTGCCGTTGTCACTCCTCTTTGTTCCATTCGTCAAGGCAGGAAAAAATTATTAATTATTTTATTTAATCGATACTCACTTCCACGTGGTCCGTAGAACTTTACGGAGAACTCGTTGAGTCCCCCGAGGATCGTCACCTCGTGTTTACTCTCTATCCTGTTGGTAAAGTGTTAAGAAAAACCTGAGATTGATGATGAGATGATGATAACATGTTGATTCGATCGATTCTTTCTCTCGCATACTCCAGGAGAATCGATTCCTCACATTGTTGTCACTATGGCAACCTCCATGCATACATCGTACCACGTACAGTCATTTTCTCCTCATGATCTCGATTATCCCCAGTTTATTGAATAATCAAAATTAATGCCTCACTAATCGAATCGACCGATCGATTTTAATCAAATAAATTGGGAAAATCTATCGATTTTGCGGTAAAAATTATTAAAAAAAAAATTGAATTTAAAATGAATTTGAAAAGAAAAAAGGGGGAATACGAAAATGAGTTCACAAAATGGAAGAATGGAATAGTTCGAAAGTATTCAACCTTGAATTTCGATAGTTACGAGTTGAAGGCAGTCGTAAATGTTCGATGTGAGGATTAGTATAATGACGTAGAAAGGCAGAGTGCCAAATACTCTCTCTTTTTCTGATAATTCTACATATGCGTATCAGTGTATGGAACCCTTAATCATCGAACTCAAAATAAATTTATTCTACACTTGCATCCAATGTTTATACTAATGAATCATAAAAAAAACTGCACGAGCTGAAAAATAATCGTAAAATCAATTATTCAAATTTTAATACTCAAATCATGGCGAAGTTTTAACTAATTGTTCTTTATTTGAATTTTTTTCAACCGCAAATTCACCCGAAATTTGACTCCATTTTTACTTTCTGAAGAAAGTTGAATATTTCCACGAAATAAAAACAGCAAATTTCCCCATGACATAAAAAAAATCCATTTCAAATGGTAATAATTTCGCTCGTACAGAGGTTCGAAGAATTGAGTACCAACGAATGTTGTGCGCAAACGGAACGGTACAATCAGCTGGTTAAAAACAGCTGTGACCCGTCATCGGTGTAGCGCCAAGTTAAATGCCCCGTCACTTTCAAGACCCCATTCGACTCTTCACCCATCAATTCCAAACGATCATAGAAAGCAACCGATCTAAAATAGATAGTAAAGACAGTGATAAAAATAATAATTCAAAAGGATACAACTTGATAACATCCGTGTCCATGCGTCGTTTTCCAGCACTCGGAGACGACATCTTCCTAAATTCGTTCAAACAATGGACGTAATGACACCCAGAAGACTGAAAACACCTGGTAATCCTCGAATTATGCGAAAATCACAAAAAATCCTCCGACGTCACTATCAGGTCAGAAGTATTTCTGAGTCCCTTCATGTGTCCTCGTCCTCTGTTCCGACGTTTCTCTTAGGGCGTACAACAACCAATGAAAGAATAAGAATAAAAGATGAAGGGGCAACGAAAAAGTAAAAAAGAGAGTTGAAAAAGAGAAAAACACGAAACACCAACAAGAGCCTTGAACTATTGACTCCCCCAGAAAATCCTCTGAATGTCAAAAAATTATAATGGCTCTCACTGCCCGATAATTAACAATTCCAACTTGTTAAACTATTGAAAATTACCAGATGATCAGATGTCAACTGGTACGTAACACTTGCTTCCAAAACAGGCTTTCTCACTAGTCTTTGTTCTCTCTCGAGTACAGTGTAATCGTCATCTCTCTTGCACTCCTGTGTACCTCGTATCCTCGTTCACTTGGCATGAGACACTCCAATAGAAATAAAGAGAGATAAAAATAAAGGATGTAGAAAATGAAATGATTCTTATCAACAACTCAAGCCACTTCCCAACTCGTCCAGCCCACGCTCAATACGTCACTTTATTTTCTGTAATGAGTGGTGGATATGGTGATAACGAAAAAAATTTAAAAAAAACAACACTAGAAGACCTGTCAGGGCAATCCTCCAAGATATTCCAAAGCCACAACTTTCAGGGCTCTGGATCACCTCAAACTTTTGATGGCACACTGCGCCAACAGTCCAGCACCTCCACCAACTACTATTCCACCAATTCCACCAATTCCACTGCGATGTTGTGTCGTTTATTCGTATGTTTTCGTATATTCTCGAGAGCCTATCCTGGTAGATCACCAGCCCAATATTATTTACTCGAATGACGTTTTCTTCAAGCACCCACAGAGGGCAACTCTTTGCAAAGACACCTCTCTGCATTTACATTTTCCATTTTTTTTCAATTTGGCCTTCGCATTCTGCTATCTTACTATATAGTATAATTAAATATAATCAAATATTCATTTCATAAGAGTAATAATTGTTTATTCACATCATAAAGCTAATTGACCAATCAGAAATGAATTTTATTCGGAGTGGCCAGTCAGAAACACATGCGCATGAAGGAAGTCGAAATCCTCATGTTCCAATCATCTCACGAATGCCAACATCACGATTTCCTTCAAAAATCACTTCTACCAACCGCGAAATAAAATTCAAAACTCCAAAACTCCATTCTCAATCATATTCCACAATTTTCCCCATAAAAACCTTTCCAAAATCTGGAAAAACTTCCAGGACAACATAAAAAATACCCTAAAACCTGAAATCAATTAAAATAACCTAGATTAATTATTTCAATTTTTTTTAACTGCTGATCCTAGTACTGAGGCACCTAAATACTCCGTTCCGTCAGTGCACACCGGTTCTCATTCCTGGAAAACCAAAATTTCTCTACCAAAATATCGAGAAATCATGACATAACTCAGCAGTCAGGTTTTGATGATTCGAAAGTCTCTCACTGGATCTCCCCTAAAATACCAGAAATATCGATTATTCTCTTGATATTAACGTGGAAAAAAATCGAATGAGCTTTCTCTCGTGTGTATATACTAATCCATGGTATGTGTTTCATGTACAAATACAAGTAACACATGGGCGAAACGTCGTGCGCAGTATCGGAGGCGGGGGCAGACAGTTAGTGATAAAATTCCGTGGTGTCCACATGTTTGTAAAAAAAAGGAAATTCTTCGCTCACTCACTGGTTTATTAATAACTCCAGGTACCCACCCCATTTGTTGTGTCTCAATTCTGCGTGTTCAGGCTGAAAATTACAGTTTTTCCCATTTTTTTTTTATTCACTTCGCTCCATTGGTATTGACAACGAGTGACTTTCCGCATGCGCGCGCATTTTCGGGAAATTCAATTATCGAATTGATTTGCGCAGTCTCATGATTCCAGGTGTCATGGGGTTATATGTGCAGAACAATCGAGACTGAATTTATATATATTTAAAATTTATTTTACTCCAGTTGTCAGTCTCAATTAGAGCTAATAGAGAGAATTTGTTTATTGCACTATTTTTTTTTTAATTAATGAAACATGGTTCGTCGCTCACTGAGGAAAACATGTCTTTTGTTATATTCATTTACTTCTCACCAGTAAATATGTATCAATACTCCCTTGAGATTTACTAATGCCTAATATAATATGGAATCTAAAATAATTTAATAATACGTAATATAATATAAATATACACTATTGCTCATGCAGAAGTTGAAAATAATTGTTTTTTCAAATTACATACCATATGTATTTTATAGGACAATAACGAAACGAATTCTGGGTTTATGAAAAAATCAGCGATTTGGTAAATAAAATATTGAATATTGTTGAAAAATTTACTCACCATTCAGAAAGATAAATTTTTCAAAATTGACAGCTACATTAAAAAAGTTATGCTGGTAAAAAAATTGATGTCAAGTCTACTGGGAAATTGTTCCTCATAAAAATCATTTCCAGTCAACAATTACATTACATTAATACTTTATTTTATTACTGACTAAATATAATCGGAATATAAATTCAATCTCCGAATTTTTTAAAAGTAAATTTTTTGGCGCTTCCATTGATTTGTTATTAAATCATTGATACATTTTTCATAATCTTCATGGCACGTTTGAAATAATTTATTTAACTTACGCCTCTCAATATTCAAATTTGTTTTTATCCGATTATCCATTAAAAATGATTTTTCATATAGAGACAAAATTTTTTATGCGAGTCACAAAATTTTCATTCATTGAGTCATTAACGAGATGACTGTTCTTTAAATTTCGTAGAGTCGTATGATAATGTGATCAAAGGTCGAACACTCAACATATTTACCGGATATACAATCAAGATGAATAAAAATAAATATCAATCTGCACTCTTACGCAATTGCATTCCTTCTCTGCAAAGCAAAATTATAAAATAGATAACAACAAAACAATTGTCTCCTATTCTCTAATTATTCGCAAAATTCATATATTACATTTATATAATTAAAAAATACCGACTGAAAACTATAATAATAAAATACAATATAAAAACAATGTCATAATATTTTTTGAAAATAATTGTTTGTGTAATGAATTTTTATTTTCTTACATTTTTTTCATTTGTTATTTAACCGATTATTATTGCTGTAGGTATATAATATTTATATAATCAAAAATCGCGGAAGTTTTTCTAGAGTTTATTAGATTCACCACCAGATGGATTCGCACCCCTGATCGAGGGTTTTCGCGTATGAGGGAGTTGGAATGTTTATTAAACAATTTTTTGCGTGAGCAATAATGATAGGAGGGCAATTGTAATGAGCGGGAAAAATGAACAATATGTCGAGGAACGATATGAGAATTTTTTCAGAGCGTTTGGAATGACTTTTCAATTGTTATGAATTTCAGAAGTTATTATGAGCGTTTCCGCAAGTGATTTTGCACTGACCAGTTTAGTATATAAGATTCGCAGAAATAATACTATTTCGAGTAGTCCGATGTTTCCCGGGATAAACCAACGCATCATGCGGCCTAACTACCAAGACCACATCATGTCCAGTACTCAAGTACAATAAAAACCGTCATCGATTCGATAATTTACTTAATTAAAACAATTACCGTGGGAGCGACTTTGACTACTCTTTTGCCATTTATTTCAAGGGCAAATTCAGAATTGCCGGAATAATATTTTGTATCAGATAATAATCTGCATTTTTGCGCACGAGGACGAATATTTTATGAAAATCCTGAAAAATTGTTGGGATTTTTTATTGGAAAGATCAATTGAAATCTGCCGAAAGATTATCCTTGAGATTTCAAGTAAACTCTTGAAAATTCTGACAATAAATTTCCTGAATTTTTAATCGATGAAAAACCCCGACTTTCATTAAAAATTAAATAATCATTCTCCCCGAAAAATCGAATTTTCCGAAATTTCTAAAATAAACGAGAAATGTAGTGATGACGTTCAACAGAAATTGGGAACAAAATCGAACAGTTAAAAATTCCGAGGATTAGCTGAAGAAATTTGAAAATTGAAACTCAAAATCCAGAACTTGCAATATTCTACAAAATTCAGGTTTATATTAAATTTCCTCCCCTTTCCGAATTTTTAATTTCAAAACGGAGATGAATCGAGAATTTTTTAAAAGGGGGAATAACAAAAATTGAAATATTAATGACGATTGGACTACGAAAATGTCAAATGACGTAACATTAGCTTCAACTATGAGAACAAGGTACAGTTGCAAAGCGCGAGCCGCCAAAGCAACTCATTTCAAGTAATCCTATCGCAATACGTTACGTGATTGCAAGATCATTGAACTTTGAATTAAAATAATATAAGCGGGTTAATCTGCCAATAAAACTGAAATAAACGAAATGGCACCTCCCACCTTGTCAATTCCCTTATCAGTCTGAATTTTTTTTTGACAGTGGTGATTCACCGAGTGCCACCCAGTGCTACGTGTTCCTCAGTTCTGAATAATTAGCCTCATTAATAAAAAAATTAATTTTAAACGAGTTGGAGTAAGTGAAAGTAGTGACGATGGAGTCGACGGAGGCTGACGATAATTTCGACGCCAATAAACGCATCGAACGTTCACCCATGGAGGATCACGATGTCCAGGACATGAAGAGGAAAACTAGTATTTTCAAGTATTACTCATTTAAATCCACAGGTACTTACACATTATTCAATTAAAAAAATGAGCATTGAATCCGCCGAAAATAGTGAATTTTTAAAAAATACTCTAACTATTTTTATTACAAAGTAATAAACTAGGAAGTGCATTTTTTTCGACACCAGTTTTTCGCGAATATCTCGAGACCGAAGGAACATAGCGATATTTTCATGATTACCTTTTTTATCGCTTTCATATTTTTCTACATAAAATGTTTATACTAAAAAATCGATAAGTCCCGCCAATTCCGAGATATCGGTTAAATACTGGTCTTAAAAATTCATCCTAGTTTCCTATTCCGCTACTGATTTTATAATCACTAATTCTTCAGCTAGTACTTTTTCCTTCATGTGTTGTGTATTGACTAATCGGTAGCTAACGTACGTGCGAAGTCCAGTTGCGATAAAAAAAGGCGTTTCCTTGATTAAATTTTATTTTGCACCGAGGAAGGACGAGGAAATAGTACTAAATGCGGCACGGGATTGACATTCGATAAATCGATCATCCGATTACTGATATTGATATTTTCCTGGAAATCTCAAATTTTTATTAAACTTTTATTACTGCACGAATAGACTCGATAGTAATGTTGACCAAATTTATTTGACTGGGGAATTTCGTGGTGGCGGGGCAGTTTCGCAGTTGCAGACGCTAAGAATAAGTTAAATGACAAGCTCCCGTGAATAATCAGGTGACTGTCATCTATAGATTAGATGTCTGCAACGTATCATTCAAGTTTTTCAAATGGTACTTTAAATATCCTTGAAATTACTGCTTCATTTATTTTTTTTTTTCACTCTTTTCCATCGCTGTTAAATCCTTTGCAATCATTTTTTCCCAATTATCCACGGATCATATCCGATTTCACCATTTTTTCTCATTTTTTTTTTTCTCATCAAAATTTATTCTCAATATTTCCCATTACGAAATATTTGCAATTATTTTTCATTCACACATGCGAGGAAAATGGAAAATTTTGACTTAAAAACTCAAGTGATTTGCGTATACATTAATTATTCAAGTGAAGATCAGCATAAAATTATTTAAACAATGAAAATGAATAATAAAAAACCCACATATTCGAAGTGGAGTTTTTCAGTAATTTTTCTTGTAAAAATTATATCGAAAATTATCCTGTTCCCCTTCCTGCCTAATCCAAAAATCCTATCCAACGACTCCTTTGACGTCACAAAAATGTGGAACGCTATGAAAACTTCCCGTCTACTATGTAGAAAAAATATTCCTTCCACATGTTGCGTTTTACTGAACCATCGAACTATGCATTTTGATAAGTGAATGAATGAGGAGGGGATATCGAGCCTCCTGGTTCTACCCAATAAGGAGTAAGTTTTGCTTAATGACGTAGTGCCTGAATACCCACACATGATCACGTCTGTCGGTTAAAAAAAGCTCGAGCATTTGATTTCACATCTCATTGCGCGTTCGCCGGTCGTGCAAAATTACCATTTCTCGTCGATTCAATTTTTCGGATAAATTCAAAATTTTCTTCAACACATCAACTAACAATTTCTATTCCCCCGTTATCCTTTGCTATGTGTACGATTCATGAACTATTGTTATAAATTGTTGATAAAAAATGGGAAGACGAATGAATTTTTCGGTGAACGGTGGAAGCCTCGGAGCTGAAAGCGAAGATCAAGGCATGTGAATTATTTTTTTATAAGTCCTGTGCGAATATTTAATTTGTTGGATAATAGTATTTAATTTATTACTGTGGCATTATGGGACTGAATAATTGCATAATGAATGTTCTGAAGGGCTTCTGTCGCGCCGGGCAATTTATCAGGTTTTTTCCACGAAGTGATTTCTCATTCATGTGGTCGGCATTAACGTGTCGAAATCGATAGGCACGTGATAAGAGTGAGAGATCTCCGCGGGTCAAATCTTTATTATCTTCATCGCAGAGTTTAGGGTCATTCTAAGTTTATGTATTTTTGAGAGGATTTATTATTTTGCAGACACATTGCCAGGTTCTCTCAAGAGAGCTGGACCCCTTATTGGAGTGCTTGATGTTGGAACTAGGACTATTCGGTTTGTGGTACGAGCATTTAAACAAATTATCCTAATAATGAACTCAACCAATTAACCCAGTGAATATTCGTAAAACTATAGTTTCCAAATTCCTTCAAAATTCAATTTTCATTGATCTCCATCGAGAGATCTAAATTAATTAACAACGAATTGTTAATTAGTAATTATCAATTTAATTAGTGAATCGATAGCTACTCGAGTGTTGGAATTGTCTCGTGGTGCTATTAATTATTGAAGAAGTCAATGAATTTCATGTGATGATTTACGATTGAATGAGACAATTCATGAGATGAATTACTTATGCAGAGATCAATGACGCAATTTAAACTTGACATCTGACCGAACACTTGAATTATCTGGTTTCAGGTGTTCAATGCAAAACGAGTGGCTGAAGTTGCGTGTCACTCCATCGATATTGAGCTTCTGAATCCACAAGAGGGATGGGCTGAACAGGATCCCAAGGAGATCCTCTTTGCTGTCAAAGCCTGCATTAAAGATGTTATCAAACAGTTGGAGAGACTTGGGTTTAGTGTCAGCGAAATTGTCTCCATTGGTATTACTAATGCCAGAGAAACTACAATAGCTTGGGATTCAATTACTGGCGAAGCTCTGTACAATACAATTGGTAACTTATTTATCAGTCTAATCAATAAATACTTCGTAATCTCATACTAAAATAATCATCATAAATATATAGACCATTATATATTATTGTTCTAGGTTATTATTATATTATTATATTATTATTTGAATTGGAAAATAAATTCAAGATCAATGTTTAAAATGGTTTTGATTAAACTTTTTTGAAAACTCTTCGATAAATATCCAATTCTTCATTAATTGGTTTCATTAATTTTAAAGCTCTTGTTGATTTTTTTATTGGACTGATAATAGAATGTGTTATTATTTTGATATGAGGGATTTTTGGGAATTTTCGGGTTGTTTATCGTTTTTATCTCTTTACAGTTTGGTCTGACATCCGGACTGACTCTATGGTAGATCAGATAATAGCGAAATTTCCTGATCAGAGTAAAAATCATTTGAAGCCACTCTGTGGTCTACCAGTGAGTCCGTACTTCTCAGCATTGAAGATCCGATGGCTCAAGCAAAATGTGCCAGCTGTCAAAAAAGCCATGAGGGATAAGAGGTGCAAAGTGGGGACAATGGATACTTGGATAATATGGGTGTGTACGATAAAATTCTATGATTCGTCCATATTATTGTTCCAACTTGCGCTGATAATTTAAAATAATTGTTGAGTGTTTCAATAATCGAGGAATAAAACCTCGAGTTGTTTTTTAGACTCGGAGTTTAATAAAATCCGATAAATATGGGATTTCCTCGGTGAAAAAAGAGTTAATGGATTGAAGAGTTTTCCTGTGTTTCTTAGAACTTGACTGGCGGAAAAGAGAATGGCCTTTACATAACAGACGTGACGAATGCCTCACGAACAATGTTGATGAACATCGAAACGCTTGCGTGGGATCCAACTCTATGCAGATACTTCGACATTCCCATGAAACTCTTGCCGGAAATTCGAAGTAGTTCAGAAGTTTACGGGAGGATAACAGTGGGTCCCCTCGAAGGTATTCCAATATCCGGGGTAAGAGATATTTTTTACAGAAGAAATATTCGCCACAAAGTATTTATTTATCAGAAATTCAGAGATTATTACAACTTTTACAGATTCTGGGCAATCAACAAGCGGCACTCGTCGGCCAAAATTGTCTGAAAAAGGGTCAAGCGAAGAATACCTACAGAAGCGGATGTTTTCTTCTGCTCAACACTGGAACTACAGTTTGTATTTTTCCCTTCTAATTTCAAATATTTTGAACCGATACGTGAGAAAATTCTGCGATGTTAATAATTTAATTATACCATAAAACCTTTTATATTTCAAATTTCTATTGAAAGAGTTATGAATTATGAAGAAAATATGGAAAAATAATTGAATGATCTATTTTCACAATTCAAACGTGCGGTGAAAAATTCGTCAAGCCTCTCCCATCGCTGTCACATTCTTACGAATTTATTTATGCCAATTTTTTCTTTGCAGCGAGTCTATTCTTCTCACGGTTTGGTAACGACAGTGGCATACAAAATGGGTCCGAACAGTCCAGCAGTTTATGCCCTGGAAGGGTCAGTGGCTGTTGCTGGGGCAGCTATAAAATGGCTTCGTGATAATTTAAAACTCATAAAAAATGTCAGCGAGAGTGAGGACTTGGCACAGAGTGTCTTCAGCACTGGAGACGTTTACTTCGTACCTGCATTCAATGGTTTATATGCTCCATATTGGAGGAAAGATGCGAGAGGGTAAAATTTGAATTCATAATCATTTCCTGGAAATTTGTGTGATCGCATAATAATATTGAAAGTTGCATCAGGAGAATGAGTTTTTGCTGGCATTTGCATTATCCTCCATGAATTTATCGCAAATTCATTGACATTGATTTCGATAGAAAATCTTCTGTCAATAAAATTTTTAAAAATGGAATGCTCCGCGTAATCGCTCTCATGACATATTTTCCGGTTTTCATAAATGGATTATCTAGCCAGCAATTGCCACGATTATTCTGTAGATAAGACGTGAGAGGAGCGATTTATGTCAAGAAAAAACAAAAAGATTTCGCCGTGGAATTGAATCATCTTTTATGACTTTGCAGAATTATTTGCGGTTTAACCGCATTTACAACCAAACAGCACATAATACGAGCGTCATTGGAAGCTGTCTGCTTTCAAACGAGAGATATTTTAGAAGCAATGAATAAAGACTGCGGTTTTCCATTAACGAAATTACATACCGATGGGAAAATGTCAACGAATAATCTGTTAATGCAATTGCAGGCTGATCTGTGTGGTATACCAGTGTGTGAGTATTCCACAGTAATTTAAAAAAAAACTCCAAAATTGGATTTGATATTTTCTCATAAAACTTGGGGGAAAAAATCGATTAGTAATCTATTGAAAGTTATCGTATGCCTAATTTTTTTTTATAAATAAATTGAAAAAGCCCTTTGTGGTTGCAGTTCGCTCGAAAATGCCAGATATAACGACACTAGGAGCTGCTGTGGCTGCTGGACAAGCTGAAGGTATTGAAGTCTGGGACTTGGAGGGAGAAGAAGTTGAAACTGTACCTTCAGACACATTTCTACCCACGACAACCCCTGAAGGTAATTTGAAAAAAAATGAAGAAATAGTTGAGAAATTCTCCTGCCGTTGTAAATACTGAAAAGAAACTTTTTTACGTTTTCAGAACGAGATGCAAGATACAAGAAATGGAAAATGGCTGTTCAGAGAAGTTTAGGATGGGCAGCAGTAAAGATGTCGGATCAAATGACAGGTAAAATCGTGAAAACTTTACCACAAATCTCAATTTCATACTCAATTTTCTCTTCTACTAATCATAAACATTATTGACTGTTGCAGATGAGAGGTACAGGATATTGGCATCTATCCCAGCCAGTTGGTTCATAATGTCGAGTTTTATTCTTCTACGATTGAGTTACTACTTCGAAAATCGGTGACAATGTTCAGTGGAACTGACACGTGCTTGAACTGTCGAGCACAATCTTAGAGTTGAAATTTTTTTTATAGATTCACAGTAAAAAAAAACACATCAAGGGTTTATTCAGATAGAAAATAATTGTACCACTCTAGTGACTGCCTTTTTATGGCCGAGAGCAGTCCAGTTCAACCATGCCTTTGCCTGTAATTTTACGTTATTGATCAATTAATTTGATTTTACCTCTGATAGGATTTGACGCACTCCAAGTTCGGTGCATCAACAATCTGCGATTATTCTTTCGCGACATTTTCGTACTTAAATATTTATTCAGCTATTCAACATTTTTTTTTAATCAATTTACTCATTTTTTGATGACTGTTATATTATCATTCAATGCATGAACTTGCCATATGCTCAATTCTACGGTTAATGTATCTTTTAGTTATTTATAGCTGTAATATCCGTCGTAGTATTCAAGTGAAAAATGATTGGATTTTTGTGCTGATTTTAAACGCACGCGCGCACTGCAAATTTATTTTTGAATCAAGTTTTTTTGCCGGTTAATTTGGAAAAAAAGGTTGAAATTACGGGGTAGTTTTTGAAGTACTTATTTCTGACGTACAGATTTTCAACGAAACGTTTACTGAATCTGTGTGTCCTCACTCATGAACTCTGCTATTCAAGCCTTGCAGTGTCTTTCAAAATTGAGAAATATACAGAATGTATTTTGAAGGACAACTAATGAATAAAAGTTACAAGTTGATGAAAATTACAAATTTATAATCTATTCCTGCTCCCAAGTCTCCTTTACAGATATAAATTCACTACGAATTGTCCATTGGAAAATTTAAAATCGTCTCGAGTCGCTGAATTACTGAATATATTCGGTAAAATAATTCTCTAAAAAAAAAATCGATGATTGATCTAGGATTTGCTAATTCAAGCCAAAGCAATGGGAGTTTGGTAATTCAAAGAAATTTGAATTTCCCGCCATTTCCATCTCGCACGAGTTCAATCGATACCTCGAACTCGCACTTTTCAACTTCAGAAAACCACCACTCACTGTCGCTGCACTCGCTCCATACTCCTTCAGTTTCAGAGCAGAATGCGGTAATGCGCGATCTTATTACACGTCTCTGTGCACGAGACTTCCGAAATCTAAAAAAAAATCCACCAGAGCAATTAATAATAAATCAATGAGAAAAACAAAAGGCCAAAGATGTACGTAAAAACGTGTGACAGTGTAACGTAATGGGATTTATTTCAGTGAAGTGCAATCGAAAAATATCCAAATATAGAGTCAGTGGATTTGATGTTGAATGGCGAGGGGGTGGAAAGGGTTGAAAACAAGGGCTGTGTGAGGCCTCGGAAGCGTCAGGACCTTGGAAGAGATTAAAAAAAAGCTGGAGTGAATAACGTAAGAAGAAACAAACCCGAGCAGCAACACTAGAAAAGTGAAGTAATCATTGACTCCCATCGAAGGAAAAAAAAATAAATCTCAAGATGTCGTCTGGCCACAGCAGTAGAAGTCGCAGTGTACACATAAGTTCGATATTTCAGAAGATTCAGGGACGTTTTGCTGATGCTATGACACCACCAAAATTATCAACCGACAAAAGAATGCTCGATAAAACCTGGAAACTTATGGACAAAGTTGTTAAACTCTGTCAACAACAGCGAATGAATTTGAAGAATTCACCACCATTCATTCTCGATATACTGCCAGACACTTATCAACGTTTACGTTTGATATACAGTAAATACGAGGATCGTATGCACGCATTGCACAGCAACGAACACTTCTGTGTGTTTATTAATAATTTAATGAGAAAATGCAAACAGGCTATTAAGTTATTTAAGGAGGGTAAAGAGAAAATGTTCGACGAGGCATCGCATTATCGTAGAAATCTAACGAAATTGAGTCTCGTGTTCAGTCATATGCTGTCTGAATTGAAGGCCATATTTCCAAACGGCGTCTTTGCTGGTGATCAATTTCGCATCACTAAGTCCGATGCTGCTGAATTTTGGAAGGAACGATTTGGTAACAGGTAACAATCATTCATTATTATCTATTCCATTGATGTGTATTTGATCAGTTTGGCTGTCGCATCTTGCAACCTAACCTAAACCTGCAGAAAAGTCTCTCGTTCTTGTGAACCTGTTCCTCCCATAATTAATTATTATTGATTATTGTTGATCAAGCAGTTGGTCTTTTCTCCGCAAAATGCCGATTATAACAATCGGACATAACGTCCGTCATTATTACTGTCGGATTCAAAATTGGCATTCCATTATTTCTCACGTTTTATAAAAATTGTTTTATTAAAAATTTAACAATTAAGTTAATACAAAACGTAAAGAAACTGCTGCCACCCCATGTGCAAGAATTTTCAGTGACAAAACTCTGAAATCGTCTATTAAAAAAAAACGGGTTGACACGTGGAATTCCATTTTTTTTACAATTCAATTTGCGTCGACTGATGAATTATAACCTGAGATAAGCAAGCGAGAATAAATTTACCGTTAGATTTATAAACAGGAATTCCATCATCATCCATTATACAGACACGAATGTCTATTAATCAATAATCAATAATAGCGATGATTACAATTTTCATTAAAGTAATAATTCTCTTATGCAATTATAATAGGGAAATCTGCACTGGCGAAATAAATTTCTCGGGAAATAATCGAAACCACGTGAGTTATTATTCGAGTAATTAAATTGCTCATCTCCAACTCATAATTAATATTTTGGGAATATTCTCGTTATAAAATAATATTACCTGCCAGTCAGGGTGATAGTTCGTTGGGTTTAGAGATCGATAAGTTTACGTGACGATTTAGGGGTGAATGGGGGATTCATTTCGAGGGTTCGTGATGATTGGTGAAATTTCGGGAGTTCTAGAGAAATAATTGAAAGGCTTCGAGGGGTGTTTCACAGCTGTGAGAAATCATACGATGACGGACAAAGCGCGGGTTTTTAAAAAATCCGTAACACAACCTTTAGATTGAGAAAATTGTCTTCTATGAATTAAAAAAAAAACAGGTCAGCTCCTCAGATATTCGGAGAATAAACTGTATAAAAATCTGAGTTATCTAACTTTTCTCATTTTCCAAGAGATTTATCAGGATAATGAATAATTCAGTGCAGCTGTAAGTGATTCACATGGTAATCAGATGAGTTTGAATTTCCTCGACTATAAGTTTAGACTGCAATTAATCGAAAGAAAATGCAGGAAAATAAATTGAATTTGTTCTCCAGGAAAATATTTACAAATCTGGATGAAATCTGAAACTTATATCCAAACACTCTGAATACTTTTGAATGAAGAAAAACCTTTTATGCTATTTCTCAGATATTCCCAAGTGTCGAAACACTCGTACATGCATTCAAATTCAGAAGCAACTCATTTAACTTTGATACGTACGTTTCAATGAAATTTCAAAGTCTCTCATCTCCAGTTTCCATTCCTACAAAGTTGTCCAGCTTTTGGCTGTAATGCTGATGACCTAGATGTAATATTCAATCGGCAGTTGACTGGCAAACTATTTTGCATAGATGATGATTATGCACGACTTCCGCGAATATCTCCACGGAATGTGATATCATGTTCGTTTAGTATCTTGTAGAGGCACGTATTTATCAGTGGAAATCTCTGGGAACAGCAACACATCCTCTCTCGTTGCAGTTGTCTCTTTTGACTCGCCGAATAAGTTCATTGAACCCAAATCTGCACTCCGGCAATATTCGTCTGGCCGTTGCCCAGCGAGTAGTGAAACCTCAATCGGCCTCTGGGTCATGGTTATTTGATAAATTAAATTACCACAAAAAATAATGCCATCATCTATCAATGCAGGTTGTATCGAGAAAATCATTTTTTTTTATCAATACTGAGAAAAAAATTTAATTCTCCAAACATATTTACTTGCCACCAGTAAATCTGCATAAATATTGTATATTGTATATCTCCATATAATATTGTATGAATCTTCATGTTGAATATATTCTCTGGTGGTTAGTAAATTACTTGAGGAATTTTTTTTCCTCAGTGTGATGGGAGATTTTTCATCAGTTTTACTGGTCCTGCATTGTTCATTGCATCTCCATGGTTCGATAAATTTCAGAATTCTTAAGGCGATTATGAAACACCATTACCTGGCGTGAATATTACGTGAATAATACAGATAAATGATAAGTGCTCGATTCGCGAGATTGGGCTGATAAAAATTGCAAGAATGCTTTTTAGATATTTCTGAAAGATAATTCTAAAGAATTCCCCTACAGCACACGAAATTTCCTACGTTGACGGTTTATCAAATTTGTTAATTAATTATAAATAACTATTATTAACTTATCGATACCTGATGAATTAGGTTGCACCTGTTAATCAGCAACATGAACCGAAAGATTAGCAAAGGCAATAGCAGACCTTCCACGTAGCTCATAAAATTTCCCACAAAAAAGTAATCGCTTGATAAATCCCTGGAAACCCTTTCCGTTTGATAAGTCCAAATCCGTTTTCAACTAATCTCCTTTCAAAACTTCCTCAGTAAATTCTAGTTTGTCCTTAACATCATTTTTATCAAGGATATTTATCATTCACAAAACTCAAGAGATCAGCTTCATTGTAATATGCAACAAAAAAAATTCTAATCCTCTAAACCGTGCAGCAATGAGGCATTAAATAAGTGAGAATACATTTCAATGACGAAATAAAGATTTCAAATTCGATTTACCTTCTTTACTGCTTTCCTACTGGACAGACGAGTGTATTTTTTAAATTTTTTTTCGATGGAAGTTGAAAGGTTGAATTCTACGTCAAGACTTGTGATATTTTCCTCCAAGCGCAGAACGTATTTAGCGTATAAATAAACATCGGTACCGATTCATGAATGGTTTCTCTTAGCCATGAATGTACCCGATTGAGTGTACGTAGATTACGTGTATGTACTTGTGTGTTTATAACGTCTTGGCGCGCGTGCCAGTAAAGCCATGAATAACTTTATTATTATTTTCCATTCGTCTTCCTCTTACAATGAAATAGCTAGGCGAGTGTTTACGTAAACACCAATACAATCATTTTTAATCCTTCAAATTTACCCATTGAAAAAAAATCCGCATGAATATAGAGGGAGAGACCTCAAATGAAATAATAGTACATTACGAAACTAGTGCGGTAAACGTTTTTTAATTGACAGACGAGTGAGAAAATCTGTACCGTATCCGTTTCCTACAGGATTTCACATCACGACGTGCGGTAAAAGATGATAAACGCACGCCCGTGCGCAAACCGCCATTTACCGCACGGAGTGACATAGAAAATTATTTGTAACATGAGATTTTTGAGAAAATTCTTCACGGGCTGCATTCTAAATGCAATTGAAATACATTCACGACATGAATTTAACTCGCGAGAATAATTTTTTTAATGCATGATAATGATGAAGTGTAAAGGACGTATGTCCGCATTGAATGCCGTATATTTTATCGTGAAACCAATTTATGTTTGTTCCCTATTAATGTCGATGTGCGGACCTTCAGTTTCTGTCGTTTCCGGCCAAATGATCGCGGACATCCGGCCGTCACTTACACAACATGTAGTACCGCACACGGATAATTTTTATGTGCTGTGTGTATTTCAACCACTGGGTTTCGTTCTAGAAAACCTGATGAAGAATATCCACTGCAGCTAATTCAATTTTTACCCCTGTCCATATCCCCCCGGTGATTTATTCATATTCCAGGAGGAAAGACATGGGGATAAGTTTGAACCGATTTGCTAAGATTTCTTAGGATAATCTTTTGGATTATATGTCAGTAATCTGTCCATTGATAAGTACTTGAATCTTTAGTTAATTCTTGTTTTTAGAAAATCTACGAGCGTGCAGATTTTTCGGCGAAAAATCCCATGGAATTTTCACTTTAAATTTTCGGGGGTCAACTGCGGTATATTGGGAATTTAAAAATTAAAGAAAGACAGTAGAAGTGTTGAAGCTTTCACGTCTATTTTCCATTTGAATTACTCAAGATTTTTTTTTCACTGATATGAGGAATGCGAGGGATAGGTGAAGCGAGAGTGAGGGTGAGGGGTAAATGTAAAAAAGTTGAATAATAGGGGAAGAAAGCTATGACATTTTTTTCAATGGCCCTTGGCATTGCGAGTGGTTAGAAATCTTGAATTCCAAAGCCTGAAAAGCCAGTCTCTGTTAAGAGGTACAGAGGAATGGGACAGGATGAGAGCTTTATCGACTGGGAGGGTGTCTATCTGTCGTTTTATCGGTCTGACTCGGACTAAATGGAAAAAAGGTGGAAAGAGGGAAGAGATAAGCTGGGGTAAATATCACGTGTCTATGTGGCATTTTATCTATCGCTTTCTCTTTATTCGGAGAAAAGAGATGGTTTCGTGAGAAAAGTCGTATGAAAAATTCATTGGAACTAACAAAACACTTGCTAATCATGTGATTCAAAAGAATTTTTTCATTGCTTCTCCATGGAAGCTGTACACCCGTTGGAATTTTATTGTTTTACTATATATTTAGTATTATCATTATTATAAATTTACATCCATTAACAATATATTCGCAAAATGATCATCAGACTCACTCAGTACACGTTACGTCTCTCTTACTCCACTATTCAAATCTATTTTAATCCACTCCAAATGAAAATAGCTTTCAAAAATAGTCAATGAATGAAACTCGACGAAAAACTCCAAACAAGCCGGCAAAAAATGAATCTGATAAAAATTGTCGGATTAACCGGTGCAAGCGCGAACAAATGAAAAGATTAAACAATTATATGGAAATTTATGGTGTCATTACTGGCGAACCGTTGAGATCTCGAGAGTTGTTAAGGGGTGGAGAGGGTTGAGGAGTAGGTGGGGAAATGATTAAAGACCAACACGTGCACATTGACTCGTTTTAATATGTTGGGAAGACCGACAAAACGTTTCCCCGACGACGAGTTAAGCTCGCATCCGGACCAGAGTGCCGTACACCAGCGGAAGGAAGGGGACGTGACGTCACGACGAGGAGAATTAAAAAG